AAGATCAAAGAAGAAAGTGTAAAGGCAGGCTTAATGCTGAACATAAAGGAGGGAAAATAATGATCACCAAGGACCTTCACAAATTCAATCTAGACAATAAATAGAAATAGTAAAAGAATACTCATACTTGGGATCAAACATTGATAGAAATGGGACTGCAGTCAAGAAATCAGAAGAAGATTATGAATGGAGAGGGTGGCTTTGAAAGAACTAGAAAAGTTTCTAAAATACAAAGATATACAACTCAGCACGAAAGTTAGAATCATACAAGCCACTGTATTCCCTATTATCATGTATGGATTTGAGAGCCGGACAGTTAAAAAAGATGATAGTAAGAAAAACAATGCATTTGAGATGTGGTGTTGGATAAGAGTGCTGAGGATTCCATGGACAGCCAAAAGGACAAACAAGGGGGTCCTAGAGCAGATCAAGCCAGAAGCCTCCCTAGAAGCCAAGATGTCCAAACTGAGGCCATTGTACTTTGGACACATCATGAAAAGGGAGGACTCTTTGGGAAAAACAATAATTCTGGGAAAGGTGGAGGAAAGTAGAAAGAGAGGAAGGCAACATACCAGATGGATGGACTCTGTTAAGGAGGTCAAGGTATTAAGGGGTTGCAGGAATTAAGCAGAGCAGTGGAGGACAGAGGATCTTGGAGATATCTCATCCATAGGGCCACCATGAATTGAGATAGACTCAAGGGCAGTTAAGAACAAAACGTATGAAAGTAAGCTAACATTTTCATGAAAAAGATGGACTGTTTTGTCTCACATGTTTAGTGCCCCAGGGAGATGCATTAAGTTAGTCTTCAGGATAGCTTGGCAAGGGTCAACATACCATGGCTGCAATCCAGCATCCCCTCATAATGATATAAATATCAACATACAAGATATACTACACAACCCCCATGAAGAACATATCAGTGACTGGGTGCTGGTGCACAATGGGCAGCACAGCCCACAATCACTATGGGTGGTCATAACGCACAGTGTGCAACTGCAGTGCACAACCACAATGTGCAGCTGTAACACACAACATTGCTGTATGTACAACCCTACTTCTCCTGCTATCAGCAAAATACATTGGTTGTACTATGGTGAATAACTCACACCACATGTGTAGGGCAACATCTACACATGTATGTCACTAACAGGATGCTGGCTTATGAGTTTTTACTCATCAAAGATTGGGATTTAGCTATCATTTACTTTTTTTGTCAACAAGCTGATGGGGTTGAAAGAGTTATGTAAATGTATACTTAGTCACAGGTCTTATTCTCACCTTAAAAGTAGTATTCAAAGCTGTTGAAACTCATACTTAACTTTCAGCAAATTAGATAGTTCATTATAAGGAGTTTATCACACGGGGAAAATTCCGTGCAGAAACGGGGCTTTAAATTAAACAAGCGGGTGTTTTTTCAGATGACGTCGCTGTTAAAGGGAGGTTAATCCGAACGGAAATTAGACAAAAACTGCTTCTTTTTACTTTCAGAAGGTCCTGAAAGTAAAAAGAAGCAGTTTTTGTCTAATTTCCGTTCAGATTAACCTCCTTTTAACTGCGCTGGAATTTATCACACGGGGAAATCCCATTGATAAATTGCTTCCGCTTTTGCGGTTTTTTCCCCAATTTAAAGCAGCGTTTCTGCACGGGACTCACGGTGTAATAAACTCCATAGTTCATATTAAAATCTAGAGCATATTCACTATCTCACTGATCTAGGGGTTGCCAATTGCCTCCGTTTAGTCATGCCTGGGCAGCTGGGCTAAACTGAGTTTTGCTGAATGAGGCAGTGTAGCAAATAGCATTCGTTTGGTATCTGAGGCAGAAAATCCCACATTTCTGTCCCCTGTCGTAGAATGATAGTACATTGGGCCCTTGGTATCTACTAGTGTTTGGTTCCAGGACTCCACAAGGATGCTGAAGTCCCATTATACACAATGACATAGTAAAATGATGTCCCTTGTATAAAATGGCCTATCAAGGTTTGCTTATTGGAATTTATAATCTTTTTGAATAATTTCAAGCTGTGGATGGTTGAATTCATGGATAAAAAATCCATAGATATGCAGGACACTAACAGTTTACCACTTCTTTGTGACACTCCAAGTTAGGTAACTGGGATGGCTACTTCCCTTTTGTCTAATGGTAGGCCCAACTCTAAATTATATATTGGAACAGTTAGCACACTATAGTGGTTAGGCTGCTGGTCAGGTCCAGGGCAGGGGAAACTCAGGCTGAAACTGCCACAGTTGGATGATGTTGGAACCATCACTATAAGCCCAGGGTGCTTTGAACACAAGGAGGGCTAAAGTGTGGATAGCAGTTTAGCAGCAGTTCCCTCTCTTGTAGCAATTCCAT